TATATATATATATATATATATATATATATTGTCAACCACTTAGTGGCAAGTCGCAGCCCAAGCGCAGTGCATACAGTTGTTTCGACGCCTGTCGCCCGGAGAACCAGCCAGGCGATGCTATAGTATTCGCTGCCTTGTGGCGTTTTTGCGAAGCCCCATGGGACAGGACCCCGATACCTTCGTGCGTGTATGTGTACAGCAATATTTATATAGGTATGTATTTATATCGACATTTGTATGCATTGGCATAGATGTGAACACACATATCTATATGTGTGTCTATAGATATAGGTATGTATATGCGGTTTCCATCTTGGGCGCCGGATGGCCCTGGCCAAGGGCAGTGGACCTGTATAGATCTCGTCGCCCCACGGAGGGCTCCCAACCCCTTTGCCTTCCCCGCTTTGGCCTTCGCGAGCGCCGCCGACCTCGAACCCTCGCTTGTCCCGCGCCCCGCTGCCCACCGAGATTTGCGGCCGTTGTGGGGTTGTCTTTGCGCGCTGGGTGCTGGATGCTTTCCCTCTCTCGCTCGGAGGAAGAGGAGGGCGGAGAGGGATGATTACGCGATGGGGGGGGAGGGGAGGAGGGAGGGAGGAAGGGGAGGAGGAGGAGGAGCATGGGGGAGGAGGAGGAGGAGGAGGAGGAGGAGGAGGAGGAGGAGGAGGAGGAGGAGGAGGAGGAGGAGGACCAGTCACAACCCCGAGACTCAACAACGATATTGCAAGACATTTCTGTCCAAGCTCCCGCTTCATAGGCCCATACGAGGATTCATGTTCACTGAAAGGATGGCCCCGTTGGAAGTTATCCGTTTAAACATCTGGAGCTGTGCCAAAACACCATGCTTGGAATTTCATCGCAGCGACTCGCCGTTCTGTTGCGTTTTGACATTCCTGAATCGTGCCAGAACGTTCTCAGGATTTCAGCACCACGATCCAACGGAAGTATTGCGTCCTGACAGTCCGACATCGCCCCAAACCACAATTTCTGGGACGCTCACCATGAGAGTCCGCGAAACTTCTGTACACTCCCAAAACGAATGCGCGCGGCGCTAAGGCGAGAGACACATTTTGAGAAAAGGAACCGTCCTCCATCCGTAAAGCCTTTGTAATTTTGTAAGACGAATGCGCGCGGCGTTAGGGCGAGAGCCGCATGTTGAAAACCACCCGCCCTCCATCGATGAAGCTCTTGCACACATTTAAGTCGGATTTGCGCGGCGCTACGGCGGAACCACATTTTAAATTTCACCCACTTTCCATCCACACATCTCTTGCATTGCGATAGCCACATGTCGAAAGCCACTTGTCCTCAAGCAGTGAAACTCTTGCACATTTAGAAACGACTGTGCGCGGCACTAAGGCGAGATCCACATTTTGAAAGCGACCCGCCCTCCATCCGTGAAGCTCTTGCAGATTTTAAGCTTCAGGATGAGAAATTATGCGGCAATCCCGGGCGAAAACCCCAGCCAGCCATTTTGATTGGCCTTGGGGTGCGACAGGGAGGAGTTGTTCACAAGGGAAAAGAATGGAGGCTTTGGTCCCCTGCCTCGCACTCAGGAGGGGGGAGGAGGAGGAGGAGGAGGAGAAGGAGTAGGACGAGGAGGAGGAGAAGGAAGAGGATGATGCTGATCATGATGCTAATAGTGATGACGATGATGATGCTGCTGCTGGTGATGATGCTGATGATGATGCTGATGATGATGATGATGATGATGATGCTGATGCTGATGATGAGACTGATGCTGATGATGATGCTGCTGATGCTGACGCTGACGCTGATGCTGATGGTGATGGTGATGCTGATGATGCTGCTGCTGATGATGATGATGATGATGATGATGATGATGATGATGATGAGGAGGAGGAGGAGGAGGAGGAGGAGGAGGAGGAGTAGGAGGTGGAGGAGGAGAGGAGATGGAGGATACGGAGGATGAGGAGGATGAGGATGAGGAGGAGGAGGAGGAGGGGGAGGAGGAGGAGGAGGCGGAGGAGGAGGAGAAGGAGGAGGAGGGGGAGGGGAGGGGGAGGAGGAGAAGGAGAAGGAAGGAGAGGAGGAGGAGGAGGAGGAGGAGGAGGAGGAGGAGGAGGAGGAGAGTGTGGATGATGATGATGATGATGATGATGATGATGATGATGTGATGGAGGAGGAGGAGGAGGAGGAGGAGGAGGAGGAGGGAGGAGAGGAGGAGGAGGAGGAGGATAAGTCGGATAAGCGGGTGTCTTCGGATTCTACCTCTACCGTGTAGAAGGTACTTGTCAAGGCCGCCTGGGGCCCTTCTCCATTAGGCCTCACGTTTTCGGGTATTCTGCCTTCCAGAGACATCCTCGCGCACGTCGCCAAAACATCAACCACCACGGGATGTAGATATTCCTGCGCACGTAGCTGAAAAATCAAACACCACGTGCCGACGCGACGAGGCGCACGCCCCCGTGGCACGAGACCAGAGACAGCCGCACGACACTGCCAGCCGCCGCGCCCTCGGCGCAGGCGGCGGGCGGTCTCGGGCACGAGGGGACCCCGCGCTCCGAGCCCGCCCCCCTGTGCGGGCGGCGAACCCAGCAAGGGGCCTGGGGACTCCCTGCCGAGGGAGGGGGAACCCCTGGCACAGGGGGGAGCCCAGACCGACCCACCGGGTCGCCGCCCCAAAGGGGAGGTGGCGGAGGCGGCGGCGGCGGACGCCGGCTGACGACGCCGTGTCGTGCTCCCTGCTTCTCGACAGCTGCTTGGGCCCCTCCGGGCCAATACCCCCCGGGAACACACAGCAAACCTCAACACTGAATTGGGCCACAGGAGGGCCTCGAGATGCCAAGGGGCAAGGCGTCGGCGTCTCCTCTCTCGGGCCTCGGCGCGATTCTTGTGAATGCCGTCCAGCTGTTCTTCTGAGAGCTGAGCAGGAGGTGGAGGGGGAGGGGGAGGAGAAGGCGGAGGAGGAGGAGGAGGAGGAGGAGGAGGAGGAGGAGCAGGAGCAGGAGGAGGTGGAGGAGGAGGAGGAGGAGGATGATGAGGAGGAGGAGGAGGGGGAGGAGGGGGAGGAGAGGGCGAACGCGCCCTCGGGACAAGCTCCGAGGCCGAAGCGGGGGCGGCCTCCTCCAGGCCCACGAGCCTGGCCGCCTCGTCGTGCGCGTCGAGGGATTCCTCGGCGGGCGGCGGCGGATCCTCGGGGGCCCCGGCAGGGAGCCTCGCGGGAGCCTGGAGGGGGCCAAGGGTTGTGGAGGACGATCAATGGAGAGGAAGCGTGTTGCCCAATAATTTCCAGATGTCTAGAAAGTGTGTTAAAATTGCTTAAAGCATGTAAGAAACACATGCTTGAACAATTCTTAGGACACATCCCGACATTTGAACCCCATTTTTAATTCGATGATCGGACTGTTAGGGTGTCCATTGTCGTGGCATCCACAAGCCAAGGGCAGAGCCCAGGGAGGAGGGAGCGGGAGGAGGGGTGGGCGGGTCCCACCTCCACCTCTCCGGTTCAGACTTGCGTTTTGTCCCTCTCGAGCCAGCAAAATCGGGAGCTTCCCCAAAGGCAGCACAGTCAGGCCACGGCACGTAAAACTGTCGGATAGCACCTCTTCGTATTCTTCGTTCTGTACGCTGGGAGGGCAGTCCGCTGCAGAGTTGTGATGCGCTGCTTGCACTCCGTTGAACATTGCCTGCGCGATGGCTCTGCACATTGACTCAGGGTACGTCTTCTTACTGCTGGTCCTGAAAGTTTAGCCCTCCTGGTTTCCTAGCAAACAGAGTGAGCTCCCTTACCGTGGTTGCAGAAACCGCTGTTGGTGGCCTTCAAGAGGCCATACACTGTGGGGAGCCGGATGGCGAGGATGCGAGTGGACGAAGCTTTGCCGTGAGAGCTGGATTCTCCAACTTGATGCATACATTGGTCAAGCGTGATCGTACTGACACTAGGACAATATTAATAGGCTCTGAGGGGCATCCACTGGAAACTTGACGGCTCCTGATGTCTCCACGGTGCTGGTGATGGATGCTCTGTCCATCCACATGTGCCTGCACGAACGTGCTCGGCCAAAAGCTGCGCAATGGTGAAAAACAACAGGTTGCCCACACCGAGCTGCTCACGCTGCTGGCTGGTGGCTGGTACACCACGGATCTCCCTACATATGCTGGTTCGTTCGCAGGGGGGGGGGGGGGGGGGGGCGTCGCTCCAGCAAGCAGCTCTCCACGTCTCGCAGGGCGGGGGTCCCAGTAGCCCGAACCCTGTGGCATCGCATGTGGTTGAACCATTATTCGATCGTTTCCGCCCTCGTTGGATCTCCTCGAATGTGGTCGATAGCAGTGTCTATCCACCGCACGGTTATCGTAAGCTACTCAGTATTCTGCATGTCGGGCAAGTGCCATTGGATGTCACCTTGGCGCCTCTTCCCGCAGAAAAGATTTAGTATGACAACTTCGGCTCTTTGAGTGCGATACGGCACAAGCATAGTCGCGATGCCGTCGTAGTCGTTCGCCCGAAAGATGTGACACCTATCATATGTCGGAGGCTATTCGGATTCTCTTGGGGCTTGGAGAGAGGAGGGAGGAGGAAGGCGGAGGCGGGCGGATGAGGGGGAGGATACTGATGAGGGAGGATGAGGAGGAGAGACGTGGGAGGAGTGAACGGGCGTAATAGCAGGAGAAAGAGGGGTCCAAAATGAGGGCGAGAGAGCAGGATCGAGCATGATGATGATGATGATGCTGATGATGATGATGATGATGATGATGATGATGATGATGATGCTGATGATGACGATGACGATGATGATGATCATGATGATGATGCTGATGATGATGATGATGATGATGATGATGATGATGATGGTGGTGGTGGTGGTGGTGATGATGATGATGATGAGGAGGAGGAGGAGGAGGAGCAGGAGCAGGAGGAGGAGGGAGGGAGGGAGGGAGGGAGGGAGGGAAGGAGGGAGAGGAGGGATGGGAGAGGACGGGAAGGGGTGGTGAATACCCGGAGGGGCTTGTGAGTGTGTTGGTGGCGCTGGACGCCCTCAGGTGCGTGTCCCAGTTCGTGGACGGCATCAAGTGGAAGGCCACCCTCGGCGGGCCTCTGGACACGTCGCTCAGCGCGCTCGGCACGCATCGAGAGGGGGTCGCTCCAGTGTGCCTGTAGATTCTCCTTATCCCCCTCCGCATCCTCTTCCCTCCTCCCTCTTCCCCCTCCTCCCCCTCCTCCTCACCCTCCTCCCCCGCATCTTCTCCCTCCTCCTCCTTCGGCCCCGTCTTCCTCCTGCCCCCTCCTGGCCGAAGCCACGGGCGACGAGCGTACAGTCAAAACCCCAATACGGACGCGCGACTTTACTCAGGGTACCCTTGCGTCCTTGCTCCTCCTTGCTCTTGCGTCCTTGGGCTTTTCGTCGTCCACCGCCCCAAACATCCCAACTTCGGCTTCCAAGGGTCCTGCGTCCTTACCGCGCGTCCTTATTAGGGTTTTTGACTGTATCCATGCCCATGCCCTCGCGGCCCCGATGCCGAGGCGCGACCCCAATTGATACGCCACACCCAATTTATTTGTGTGTATTTATTTGTGTGTCCTGGGGCCCCTTTATTCGTGCCCTGGGACAAAATCAGACCGCGAGTCCGTGGCAGGGGTCTACCTATACAGTGTTTTGGCAATCTCGTGGGCCGTTTGCTCGTTTCGAGTTCCTTCTGCAGCACGAGGTGGATTGAAGACAGAACGAGGGGAAACGAAAGCAGAACGAAAACGAGAAACACTGTTTAGGTCGATCCCTGGTCCGTGGATGTGGATACCTCAAGGGTGTTCGCGGTTCGGTCGGTTCGGTTGCGTCGCAGTCGGTTGCGCTCGGCTGGTTCGGTTCGGTTCGATTCCATACGGGGGTCGCGCCCTGGAACAAAAATCGGACCGCGAGGCCGTGGATGTTGCGCCCTTCGTTTTGTTCACGCCACAAAGGGCTCCGTTTTGGAGCGGCGGTCACAGCCGACACGGGGTCACACAGCCCCCCCCAGGAGGCCGTGCGAGGGATCGGGGGCAAGTTTTGCTGCCACCCCGGATCCCGACCCCCAGAGGCCTCTGGAGGCATCCCGTCCAGAGGTTTCCGGAGGCTTCAAGAGGGCGTCGACGACGGCAAAGAAGGACGATGACGACGAGGATGACGACGACAAAGAAGGACGACGACGACGACGACGGCGAGGGTCAAAAACGTCCGACAACTTCCCCCTCGACCCCTCTGAGGGTCGAGGAGGGTCCTCCTCTCCTGGCCGAAGGAGTGCCCCACTCTCCGCCCCATCCCCCCGCCTACATGAGCATGTACTGCGTGAGGCCCCGGGAGGAGTGGACGGACGTCAGGGACAGCCGAGACCACAGGCGCCTCCTCATGCTCCTCCCTCCTCCCCCTCTCCTGCTGCTGCTGCTGCTGCTCCTCCACCTCCTCCTCCTTCTCCTGCCGTGGATGTTCGCTCTCCCTCCACCTCCGCCTCCTCCTCCTCCTCTTCGTACCTCTCCTTCGCTGTCTCTCTCTTTCTCTCTCTCTCTCTCTCTCTCCCTCTCTCTCTCTCTCTCTCTCTCTCTTTATACATATATATACACATAGATCTCATTTCTCTGACAGGTAAGCCATCTGAATACTACTCTCCCCTCTCCCCGGATTCCGTCCGGAAGATAGCGGGCCCTCTCCGCGTTTTTTTTTTTTTTTTTTTTTTTTTTTTTTTTTTTTTTTTTTTTTTTTTTTTTTTTTTTTTTTTTTTTTTTTTTTTTTTTTTTTTTTATTGTTTTTGTATGTGTGTGTGTGTGTGTTGCAGTGCTTGTTTTGTGTTGTGCTGCTTGTTTTTTTTAAGGTTTGTATGCAAACATGCATACAGACACACGCATACACACAAACACACAAACAAACACACACACTGACACACATATACACACCTGCACACAGACACACACACACACGCACACAGGCACACACACATACACACAGCACACCACGCAGGCACAATACAAACACACACATACACACAGCACGCAACTCACATACACACTCACGCACACAGACACACACAGACACACACAGACACACACACACACTCACACACACACACACACGCTATCACACACACACACACACTAACACACATGCACACACACACGCACGCACACGCAGACACAGACACAGACACAGACACATACACATACACAGACACAGACACAGACACAGACACAGACACAGACACAGACACAGACACAGACACAGACACAGACACAGACACAGACACAGACACACAAGCACACACAGACACAGACACAGACACAGACACAATCCGTAGCCATTTTGGCTCAAGGCCATGGAGCACCCGACGACCGCGAGTCGTCCGCGGCGCTCTGAGCGCGAGGGGCTCCTCGCTTTGGGCCAGCTCACGAGTGGTTGTTCTTCGTGCCGTCTGCACGGGCGGCAATGCCGCAGTTTTGGGCCGCGAGGCCACACGTCGGGGTCAGCCTTGCCATGGTGGCGGACGGTCAGCCTGCGGGAGGCCGCTCTTGGGCCGGCGTTGCAGCGGGCGGCAAGGGCAAGAGCAGCTGGAGGTACTGGGTCTGCTCCAGCGGCCTGTGCAGGGAGTGGAACTGGTGCTCGCTCTGGAGGTGCCGCAGCTGCAGCCGAGTGGCCCCGCCTTGGGTCCAGGCAGCCCAGCCGCCCGCAGCTGGCGCAGGCCAGACGCCGCCCGTCGCCGACGCCGAGGGCTTCGTCGTCCAGCCCCGTGGGAGGAAGGCGAGGCGCCAGGCCCAGCGCGCCGCTGCCCGTGCTGCCAGCGCTGGGGCCGCCAGCCAGGCAGGCGCCAGCGAGGCCAGCAGCGCGCAGTGCTCAGCCGTTGAGCGGCACCGCCAGGAGGTCAAGCGCATCGAGGACTTCCTCGCGGCCCCAGGCGGGGCCATCGACGAGATGTGCCAGCAGTCGCTACGAGCTGCCCTCGACCGCGAGCGTCGCAGGCTCGCGGCAGCCGAGGCGGCGCAGGCGGAGCGCAGGAAGGCCGACACCCCCCTGCCCAAGGCGCTCCACGGTGCTGGCAACGCCCTGGCGAAGCTGGTCAGGCAGGGGCGGGCCAAGGAGCAGGCTCTGCTCAAGGCCGAGCAGGCCCATGCGGCGGCCGTTGAGGAGCGCGAGGCGGCCATCGCTCGCGAGGCCGCATGCGCCGAGGCTGTCGAGGAGTGCCGAGCTGCTCTCGAGGCTTGCCGCGAGGAGCGGAAGGCCGCGGAGGCCAGGCAAGCCAAGGAGGTCGGCGCGGCCTTCGTCGGCACGGACTTGCTCGGGATGGTCTTTGGCCTCATCCAGCAGGTCGAGGCCTTGCCCCAAGGTTTCGCCGCGGGCAGCGGGGAGGCCGCCTTCGCTGAGGTCGCCAAGCAAACCGCAGCGGCCCGCAGGCAGGCTTCCCCCCGAGGCCAGGGGACGCTCATCCTGGGCCGACACCCCTCTCGACGTCTCCGACGAGGACCTCGACGGAGATGAGGAGGAGCGGGTGCGCGCGTCGTCGGCCCCCCCCCCCCTGCAGGATGCGGCCGAGCGCGGCCAATCAGCGCGGCGAGGAGAGGCGCACGGCGTGTGGCCCTCAGCCCAGCCGCTGGCTAGGGGCTAGGGACCTGGCCAATGCGGGGGCTGCCCTCCTCGACGACCAGCCGCTGGCGACGGCTGCTGGTGGCCGTGCTGCTGTGGGCCGCAGTCGGGTTTGACTTCGATGCGGTAGGCCCGTGTTCGGTTGACAGCAGGAGGGTCAGACGGCGCTTGAGTGCGCAGGTGCCAGTTAAGCGGGGAGCCCAATGCCCTTCCTTGGGCTCGGGCACACCTGCGAGCGCGGCACCTGGCCGAAGGGGGGCGGTGAGGGCCGCCGACGGGCGGGTGGCCGATGCCCCTTCACCCCCCCGCGCTCCCCGTCGAGGCCGCTGACGAGCGGGTGGCCGAGACCCTCGACGGGCGCAGCGAAGCCAAGGTGCCAAGTGACCAGAGGACGAGGATGACGGCACAGGAGGCCTGCATTGGCAAGGCTTACCTCGGGCCGCAGCCTGCCCCTGAGTCGGGCCCTCGAGGGCCTTGCCCCCTGCGTGCTGGCCTGGAGGTCCTGGGCTGCAACGGCAACGTCTGGAACAGGAGCGTTGAGGTCCTCGAAGCCTTCTTCCACGCCCACCAGTACTGGCCGCAGCTGGTCCTCCTGCAGGAGACGAGGCTTACCCAGGAGCTCTCGGCTGGGCACATCCTGCACACCGACGACGGCCACGCCGTGGACATGCTGATCATGGGCCCCCGCGAGCTCGGGCTGCTGGCTGCGGCAGGTGCCCGTGGGGCCTCCGACAGGGCTGAGATGACGCGGCTTGGGCACGGAGCCGCCCCCTCCATGCCCTTGTTCTGGGGCGCTCTCAGCCAGGTCATCGGCCCGCGCGGCAGGTTCAGCTGCAGGGGGAAGGCCGCTTTGGTGAGCCACCTGTCCAACGCCCACTGGCCGCAGATTCGCCTCTTCGCTTCAGGCGAGCGGGGCCGCCCCCGCTGCTGCGCTTGCGGCGAGGCGCGTGGCAGCCTCTGGCACAGGCTTTTCGAGTGCCAAGGCCCGGCCGCTGAGAAGAGGGACTCGGTGTCCGCCCGCGTGAGGCAGCGAGGCGAGGGGGCGGGGGAGTGCTTCTCCAGGTGCTGGCTGCCGCGGCCCCCGCAGGCGGCCTGGAGGACGGACGCGATGGCAGTCATGTGGGTGGACAGGCCTGCCGACGGGCTACGGGGCGGTCGCCTCTACCTCGACGGCTCGGAGCTCGGCCCTGAGGTCGAATGCGTCCGCAGGGCTGGCTGGAGTATCGTGCAGTGCGACGAGTTCGGCAACCTGCAGGCGGCGGTGCACGGCGCGGCACGGCGCGGCGGTTTACGGCACGGCGAGGGCTTCGCGGTCTGGAGGCTGAGCCGCTACCTCGGGCCCTCGATCATCGTGATCAACATTGACTGTGCTTCCACAGTCATCTGCTTGAAGCTCGGCAAGAAGTATGCGACGGCGGCCAACAAGCCCAATGATCTCCTGTGGTCGGCCGTCCACGCCTCGCTGGACGTCGACTCGCTCTTTGTGAACAAGGTGGCGGCCCTCTGCGCCGAGACCGACGTTCGCGAGGGCAGGATCTCAGAGTGTCAGTGGCTTGGAAACGCCCACGCTGACAGGCTGGTGAAGGCGGGGGCGGCCCTCCACCGTGTCAAGGAGACTGCCGGGCGCGAGTTCTTCGGCGCGATGGAGGTCGTGCGAGAGCTCTCCAGGTGGATCGCGCAGGTCTCGATCGTATGGCAGGGCAGGGCCTCCAAGGTCTGCGAGGGCCTCCCTGAGTGCGACGAGCGAAGGACTGCTGTCACGTTCGCGGTCCCGCTGGAGGAGCGGGCTGACGGCCTGTGGGCGGCCCCCGTGTCCGAGTCGGGGGCCGCGCCCGCCGCCGTGGAGGCCCGTGGGGGGCATGCTGGCAGCCGCCCCGCAGCCGCTGGCGCCTGGGCCTCGGCGGCGCGGGACTGCGGGGTCGCTCTGGGCGCCCTGGTCTTCGCCGTCACTGGCCGCACCCTCGAGTTCGCCAGGTGCGGCGAGGACGGCGACGAGCATGAGATCCTCGCGTGCACCAGGTGCGGAGCATACGCGAGGCTAGGTGCGCGGCCTGGCCCGCAACCCAAGCTCAGGGAGCGCTGTCCTGGTGCAACGGGCCTCCCCAGGTCGCTGAGGGACCAGAAGTCGCGGTGGGAGAGTGGCCCCCACCCTGGGGGCACGCCGCACGCCCGCGACACGCGGAGGAAGGGGGTGGAGGCCCCCCCGCCTTCGCAAGGAGGCCGAGGAGCCGCAGGACGCGAGGGCGCGTTTCCTGAAGAGTCTCGGAGTCCAGCCTGATGCACCAGCAGGCGTCGTGAGCAGTGCCTCGGTGGCCGACGCTACTGGGGGCGGCGCTGGCGGTGCGGCCCCCTCCCCGACAGAGGGGCCCGCTGCGGCTGGGGGCGCCGCGGCGGGAGCTGGATCGCGACAGGCCTGGCTGGACGCCTACGGCCTCGATGAAGAGAGCCTGCTGAGCTGGGCCGAGGAGGCTGAGGAGGGCCGACTTGAGCGCCAGAGCAGGAAGCGGCGCAGAGAGGTCGGATATGGAGGTGATTGAGTCCCCGCTGGCCCCAGCCTTGGGGCGCTCGGGCCGCGCGAACGCGCGTGTGCCGAGCCTTGGATGCTCCTGGCTGTGGGGCGCCAGCCTGCCTCTCCTCCTTTCCTCCCTCTGCGTCCGTCGGTTGTGCAAGCATGTTTGGGGCTTCGCCCGTCGCGTGTCTGCCCGGTTGTATATATTCCAGCGCTCCGCGCTGATGCCCCTCGACGGGGGTCTGAGCTGACAGGCCGAGCGGTGCCTCGGGGCCGATGTGCCCTGGTGGCAGCCTGCCGCGGCTCGTCTGGGCTCTCGGGATCCCTTGTGGCCCGCCCCCTGTCTTGGGACGGCCCCTTATGGCTTTGGACCCTCAGAGGGGCCAGGGCCCTTTGAGGGCTCTTTTAGCCTTTATAGGCCCCGCGCTAACAGACACAGACACACGCACTCACAGACACTGGATTTCACTATTTGATGTTTCGTCTGATTTTTCTTTTCAATAATATTGTTTCGGTGCTTTACATTGGTCCTTACGCTGCAGCGTTGGCTTCGTTTTCGGATTGGCGCTTTGCTCCCGTCGTTCAGAATGGCGCTCTCGCCCCAGCGCGGGCCACTTTTCTGGATCTGAGTCTTTCTTGCTCGCTGTCGCCCCCATCATTTCCCCTCCTCCGCCTTCCACTGGTCCTCCTGTTCCTTCCGCTCCTTCCGCTCCAGTTCCTGCTGCTGATACTGCTCGTCCTCGTCCTTTTCCTCCCGCTCATCCTCCTGTTCACCGCCACCTTCTCCTCCTCCTGCGCACGCAGCTCCCCTTCTCCGATTTCGCATAACACGATGTGGTCTTTTGGTTGGAGTTGCCAGTCGGCTATGACACGCTTGCGCGGATAGAGAACACATCAACGCAATTGGAAGGGATGGGAGGGAGGGGCAAGGCGCCAGACGGGGCGCGAGCGCACCCAACATGCATCTCTCTCTCTCTCTCTCTCCCTCTCTCTTTCTCATCTCCCCTCCTCGCTCCGACATCTCCTCGGCCTCCTCCTGCCAGAGGCACCTGGACTCCCGCAAGGAGTACATTTTCCGCGCGGCCTTTTGGAGCTCGCTGCACCCGCCGACGCCCCAGCGGGTCAAGGAGCTGACGTGCTCGCGGCCCGCCGAGGACGCGGAGTGGGAGCCGCCGCTGGCCCCGAAGGGGTCGCGCTGCTGCTGCCTGGGCTGCTGGTGAGCGCAACGACGGTCCGGGGCAGTCATCCAGCTGCGCTGCCTCGCGAGCCCGCCACCATGCTCCCCCACCTGTGCTCGTCGTGAAAAATTGCGACGGACGTCGTCGTCGACGACGACGCTCGTTGACCCATCGTCGTCGACGGCGTCTCGGTTTTCGGACGTTCTCGTTGGTTCCAGGAGGTTTTCTAGCCTCGGGATGCTTTCCGGCAGTTGGGCCTCGCCGAAGGCGTCTTGGGGGTGCCCGAATCGTCCCGAACGGCCGCCAGAGACCCGAGTCACGACCCGAAAGCCTAGTGGAAATCGCGACGGACGTGTTTTTTTTGTGTGCATTCTTCGGCCCCTGGGGGCCCCCACTGGGCCCGGGGACCGTCGAAAGACGTCTCGGCGTGAACGGCTGTTCTCGGGGAAGTGCGTCGGGCCCCCGGGGGGCCCACGCTGTGACAGAAACGATATATGATGGGCCTGTTTTCCACCACCACCACCATAAGTTGGAGGGGGGAAGGAGGTGGAGGATGAGGAGGGGGAGAAGAAGAAGAGGAGGAGGACCCCCTCCCCCTCCTACTTATGGTGGTGGTGGTGGAAAACAAGCCCACCAATATAGACGGCGTCGGAGTTCTCGGCCCAGGGTGAGAGGAGATGCCGATGCCGCTGCGCCTCCTCCTGGAGAGCCCTCCTCGCCACGGCCGGGCTCCAGTCGGGCGTGTCCCTGTACAGGAGGAGTATTCAAAAATAGTAAAAATAGTCAGGGGGCATTTTTTTGACTATTTTCGAGCATTTTTGGAATATTTTTGGGGTATCTTTAATTCGTCGTTCAAAATCCCCCTGTAGGGGGACAGGCCCGACCAGGTCGAAACATATCATGGAGACGATTTGGTCGTGACTATTGGGCTCGCCGCGAGCAGCCCTCGTCGGGAAGCGCGCCCAGGGAGGGGTCCCTGGGGACCAGCGGCAACTGTGCGGCAAGTCTTTCTCCTCCCGGGGCCCGCCGCCACCGTGCTGGGGCAGGTGGCCAGCGGAGGGGATGTGTGTGTGTGTGTGTGTGGACTGTGCCGCGCGCGAGGAAGAGAGGGGGGAGGGGGATGGGGTAGGGGGAGGGGAAGGGGAAGGGGAGGGGGGGGGAGGAAGAAGGGGGAGGGGGAAGGTAGGAGGGGGAGGGAGGGGAGGGGGGGGAAGAAGGGAGGGGAAGGGGCGGGGGGGAGGAAGCAGGGGGAGGTGGAGGGGGATGGGGGGGGGGACAAGCTAAGGTAGGTGCGCAAGCGTCTAATCTGACGTCCCACCCCTCCCTCCCATCCCTTACCATGGCGTAGATCTCCTCTCTATTCGTGCAGTCGTATGTCGTAGCATGGCATAGCATCACGCATACCATGGCGTTGAAGCTCAACGCGTAGCATGACGTAGCATGGCGGCGTGGCACTGCGTAGTCAAGGACTGCATATCATAGTGTTTCAGTTATGTCGGGCGTGTCCCTCTACAGGAGGGATATCACAAACTATTCAACAAATAGTCGGGGGATGACTTTTCGATTATTGATCAAACTATTTTGGAGTATTTCTTGAGTACTTTCATTTTTTCGTCCAAAATCCGCCTGTAGGAGGACATGCCCGACCTAACATTTCAGTTAAAGGGATGGCATGGTATTGCATTGCATTGCATTGCACATGGTATTGATGATGGCATGGTATGGCATCGCACAGTGGAACACACCATAGTATTGCATTGCATGCCATGGCATGGCACTGGAAATGAGGCCAGCGCTGCAGCGGGCGCACGATTCGGAACGAGCGGAAGCGAGGAAATGAGATCAGCGCTGCAGCGGGAACACGATTCGGAACGAGCGGAAGCGCGGAAATGAGGTCAGCGCTGCAGCGGGCGCACGATTCGGAACGACCAGAAGCCCAGAAATGGGGCCAGCGCTGCAGCGGGAGCAACAATTGGAAGGACCGAACATGATCGGATCGTCCAAAACACACATGACAGCCAAACTTCCGGCAATCCTGTGTAAAAAAAGCCGTGCGCGGAGGGGTGCTCGCCATTTTTTCCGCACAGGCTCAGGAGGGAGGGAGGAGAGCAGCATTCATAGGGTGTGATTGTCGATGGGGGGGAAGGGCAGGGGGGGGGGGATGGGGAGGGGAGGGGGAAGGGGGAGGGGCAAGCTGGATGCGCTCGCGTCATATCTGACATCCTACCCCTCCCTCCCATCCCTGACCATGGCGCAGATCCCCTCTCCAGGGGAGGGGGAGGGGGAGGATCTTGGGGGGGGCGGGGGATTTGGGGGGGATGAGGAGGGGATTGGGGGATTTGGGGGATTTGGGGGGGGGGATTTGGGGGGGATTTGGGGATTGGGGGGGGGGATTTGGGGGAGGGGGGGATTTTGGGGAGGATTTTGGGGGGGGAGGAGGAAGGACGGGAGGATTTTTGGGGGGGCGGGGGCGGCGGGCGCGGCAGAGGGCGGGCGGGCGGGCGGCAACACGCCCACGCCTCCTCCGACGACCTGCGATCCCGGGCGGCGTCCTCCTCCTCGGCCCCGGCCCAGCGGGGGGGGCCCGTGTCTGGCCCCAGGGCAACAAGGAACACTTAGACTCCTTGCGCCGTTGGGGCTTCGGAGGAGGAGGAGGACGAGGGAAGAGGAGGGAGGAGTAGGAGTAGGAGGAGGAGGAGGAGGAGGAGGAGGAGGAGGAGGAGGGAGAGGAACAGGGGAAGGAGGAGGAGGAGGAGGAGAGGGGGAGGAGGAGAAGGCCCCAGGGCTACAGGGAACACTTACTTTTCAAAAGGGGCTCCGTCGTTCCTCGGGCTTGCATGCGTTATTTGTCGCTCCGTGTGCGATGTGTGTTGTAGATCGTTCCCTTCCTTTACGCGTTACTCCTCGGACAAAAAGGGGCTTCGTTCCTCATTTCTCGTCCTCAGGTCAGGCCGATGACTGTATCAAACATGGACGCGGGGTGAAAATCGGGGGCGGAAAAGAGGGGGGTGATGACTGGGGGGGGTGGACATCATGGCGGGGGCCAGGATATTTCCCCAGGTTTGTGTCATTGCGTCCATGGCCCCCCCGCTGGGCCGCGCACATGCCGTCGGTCCTGATTTGTACCCCCCCCTCTTGGACACCCCCCTCTTGGCCGCTCCCGAGAAAAACTTACTCACCCCCTCCCTCTCCCAGGAAGGAAGCGAGGAAGGGGGAGGGGCAGAGGAGGGAGGAGGGCTCGACGTGGTGGTGTACATCCCTGGGGCCCACAAAACTGGCCCACGGGGAGCGGTCGGGATTCTATGGGGCCGCGGACTTAACAGGATCACATCGGCGGCTGCCAGGATTGCCCCGGGGCTGTGCCATGCAGGTGCTGCCGCAGCCATGCTCGCGCATCGCAGCGGGGGGGTGCCCACCCCTCGCGCTCGCCCTCCAGCCGTTCGAAGCTCCCTGCGCTCCCGCACGAGCGAGTCTTGGCGTTGGTGTTTGGATCCGCCGGCCAGCGCCCCGACGCAACCAGGCAGCGCTCCAAACCCAGCCGTCAGGAGGGGAAAAAAACACACAGACACAAGTAATCGTCGACCCCCAAGAAAGTATGGGAAAATACGGGAATTGGGCGGGACGACAGAAACCCAGAAAATATAGGAACATATGGGGAATCTTCTTATTTGTGTGTATTTCTCTGTGTGTCCTGGGGCCCCTTGGAGCAGGCTGGAGCGAGGGCGAAGGGAGGCGGCCACACGACCACCACACATGGGTCCTCGTGCTCCTGTTGGCTCCGTGGCAGCCCCGTCGGAGGCCGCGGAAGCGGCTCCGCTGGAAGCCCAGGTTGCGGGCGGCCAAAAGGGGGGGCGATGACTAGGTCTGGGTGGGCATCATGGCGGGGGCCATGAGATCTCCCCAGATTTCATGGCGCCTCTTGTTTCAGTACGTCCCCGACCGCCCCCCTGGGGCCGCGCACATGCCGCCGGCAATGATTTGCGCCCCCCCCTCTGGCACGCCCCCCTCCTGGACGCCCCCGACCAGGCGTGTGCCTGGGGGAGGCGGGGGTGGGCGGGCGTCTGGGCGTCTGCGGTGGTGGTGAGCTCCACGGAACGGTCTGCCTGCACTTCTGAGCCGCTCTCTGCTCGGAGCGTGCAGAGCAAGGACTTCGTCAGCACAGCGCGCGAGCGCACGCTGGTCCCGTCGCGCACGCCGGGGGGGGGGGCGGGCACCGGTCTGCCCCACGGGGAGTGGCAGCCACGACAGAGCGCGACGGCCCGTTTACGCCCCAGCCGCTGCCAGCGGAGCGACGGATCCTGGGGCAGCGAAGCGACCCCGCCTCGCGCCGAGGCTGCCCGCGCGGCGTGCGGCGCTCTTGAGGAGGAGGAGGAGGAGGAGGAGGAGGAGGAGGAGGAGGAGGAGGAGGAGGAGGAGGAGGAGGAGGAGACCCTCCGCGGCGCGCTGGCGGCCACCACGGCGCAGGGGCACGGGCAGCCGCCGTGTCTCGAGGCCACCGCGCCGGGACCTCCTCCTCCTCCTCCCGTTTCTCCTCCTCCTCCCTCCTCCTCCTCCTCCTCCTCCTCCTCCTCCGAGGCGGCTGTTCCGAGGCGGCGCGGCGCACGCCGTGCAGCTGCCGTGCCGAGGCATCTCTTGTCTGTGGCGGCCTGCAGGGAGCAGCTGCACGCCACCACCAGGGGCCAGCCTGGGCCCCAGGAGGGGAGAACACACACAGACTCAATTAATCGTCGATTCCAAGCAAAACATGGGAAGTGGGGGGGAGGACAAGAACCCAGAAAATATGGGAAAATATGGGGACTCCTTTTATTTGTGTGTATTTATTTGTGTGTCCCAGGGCCCCTTCAAGGATGGTGCACAGAGGCCCTCCTGGCCAAGGCCAGGAGGGCGTGGCGCACCACGCCAGGGCTCGGGGTGGCCCTGGTCAGCCATGGTGGTGGTGGTGTGTGGATGCCTTCTGCGTGTGGCCAACCTGGCCGTCCTTGTAGGCTTCAGTTTGATTGCCACGGCCCTGGGCTCTCCACCTCGGGTGGTGGTTTCAAGACCAACTTTTTCTGCGTAGTTAATGCATCGTTCCCCTCCCCAGCCGTTGCAAGGGCTTGTGTCCCTCTCGTGAAGAGCATCGGTCACGCACGCTGGTAGGCTTGATACCGGCCCGAGCAAGCGGGCCCCGGTGTCAGCATTTTATTCTCTGATCGCCCTTGGCCTCCTCTCTGATGGTGCCTCTCTGCCCATACTTCCTTCCGTATCTTTCGACCCCTTCTTGTCTTTCTCGTGCCTCTCCGCCCCAACACATCTTGCCTGATTTTTGGTAGGACCAAGAGGCATTGGCGCGCGCGTGCCTCCTTCTCCTCCTGCTCCTTGTTCTCTCCCCCTGCTGCTCCTCCTCAGCATCATCCCTTCTCTTTCTCTCTTCTCGTCCTCCCGTGCCATGGTGCTTCTGATTCCCATCCCCTCCTCTTCTGCCTCCCTCCCCTCCTCGTTCTTCTCCCCTCCCCATTCCCCCCATGCTCCGCTGACAGCCCCTCTCCTCCTTCTCCCTCGTGGCTCCTCCTCTCCCCCTCCGCCTCCCAACTCGTGCCCCTTCCTCTTCCACTTCCTCCCCTGAGATCCGACGTGGCGGAAAAACTGCAACATCGCGACAACTCACGACTGGAGCCCTAGACCCCATCTTTATGCTGTCGAGCCGGATCGATCCGTGATGGTCCAGAGGCCCAAAGCAAGAAGAACACGCCTGGTATAAGATATCCAGGCGAAGGGCCCAACCAGATGCATTTATGAGTATCGCGTTGTGGGTACCGTTGTCGGTGGAGCTCCCTCTGGGGCCGCTAAACGTGTCAGGGGTGCGCCGACTTGGGTGCGGTGGTGCTATGCGAACGCAGCCTCTGGGGCCTTCGGTGGAGTCCCAATGGGGCCAAGAAACGTGTGAGGGATGTGCTGAAACGGGTGCGGCGGTGCCATGCGAACGCAGCCACTGGGGCCTTCGGTGGAGCTCCCTGCAGGGCACGAAACGCTTGAGGGGGGTGTCGAAACGGGTGCGGCGGTGCCATTGCCATGCGAACGCAGCCGTCGGGGCGTCTTTCTCAAACCAAACGGGCCTTCCCAAACGGGTGACCGGGGGCTTGGTTTGGGAAGACCCGGTTGGTTTGGGAAGACCCGGTTAGTTTGGGAAGACCCGGGGCGCAGCTGAGAAAGACCCTTTGTTTTGCGAAAACGCGGTTGGTTTGGGAAGACCTGGGGCTATGTTTCGGAAGGCCCGGTTGGTTTGGGAAGACCTGGTTGGTTTGGGAATATCCGGGCGGTAGGTTTGGGAAGACCCGCTTGGTTTGGCAAGACCCGGTTGGTTCGGGAAGACTCGCTTGGTTTGGGAAGGCCCGGGTGGTTTGGCAAGACCCAGAGGCTTGGTTTGGGAAGACCCGGGGGCTTGGTTTGGCAAGACCCGGTTGGTTTGGGAAGACCTGGTTGGTCTCCGAAAACCAAGGCGCGTGGTTTGGGAAGGCCCGGTTGACAAGAACGCAAGCAGAAACGAAGGCGAGAACGAAGGCGAGAACAATGGCGGGCACGAAGGCGAAAACGATGGCGAGAACGACGCGACAACGAAGGCGAGAACGACGGCGAGAACGAAGGCGGGAACCTAGGCCGGAACAAAGACAGGGACGAAAACGAGAACGAAGGCGAGAACGAATGCGGGAGCGAAGGCGACAGAGACAGTGGGGGCGAAGCCGAGAACGAGGGCGAGAACCAAGGCAAGAACGAAGGGAACGAAGGCGGAAACGAAGGCGAAAACGAAGGCGGGCACGAAGGCGAGAACGAACGCGACAAGCAAGGCGAGAACGAAGGCGAGAACGCAGGCGAGAACGAAGGCGGGAACGAATGGGAGAACGGATGCGGAAACGAAGGCGAGAACGAAGGCGAGAACGACGGCGGCAAGCAAGGCGAGAACGAACGCGACAAGAAAGGCGGGAACGAAGTTCAGAACGAGGAGGAAAGTGAAAGCGAGAATGAAGGCGAAAATGAACGAAGGCGAGAACAAATGCGGAAACGATGGCGAGAACGAAGGCGAGAACGACGGCGGAGACAATGGCAAGAACGAAGGCGAGAACGAAAGTGGGAACGAAGGCGGAAACGAAGGCGAGAACGAAGGCGAGAACGAAGGCGAGAACGACGGCGAGAACGAAGGCGAGAACGAAAGCGAGAACGGATGTGAGAACGAATGTGAGAACGACGGCGGCGAAGAGGGCACGAACGAGGACGAAAGGAAGGCGGGAACGTAGGCGAGAAGACCCGCATCGGCTCTCGTTGTGGCGCCCTTTCCGCGGCGGAGCTCCGACAGAACCGGCGAGGAATGGCCAGCAGTGTGGAGAGGAGAGGCTGCGAAGGATGAGGAGCGGTTTGATAACATGAGCATCGGCGATGCAGTATCGCACACGCCTCGAAAGCCCAAGGCGGGGAGCAATTGACGAGACAGGTTCCACGTTTTTCGGTTTCCCTCGGGGCCCTCGCCAGATGTGCCTTGCCGCGAGCGCGCGGGCAAAAAGCCAGACGAACGCGAGCAATGCATGGACGGATGAGGCCATCATGGAAACAGCGACCGGACGTGCGGATGATGCAACTCGCGCCGATGTCGGTTCGGTGTTGGTTTCTGACAACGTGTGGTTCTGTCAACATTGAGTGCCAAATCGTTCAACGTCGGGAAACTCCTGGCCACGCGCAGACGGGGGTAGGGGGAGGGGGGAAGGCTTCTTAGAAGCACCCCTGCTTCTTAGAAGGCGCGGGCCTTCTTTGTAGATGTAAGGCCGGCGCCTTCTAAGAAGCAGCCTCCTTCTAAGAAGCCTTCCCCCCTCCCCCTACCCCCTTCTGCGCGCCGCCAAAACTCGGAACCACTGGCGGTTGTGAACCCTGAGCGCCCTGCGCCGCGGTCGCTGCCGCGTCGACGCCCCCTGAATTTCCCGGCCGGAGCAGGCGGTTGGCATGCCCCCACCCCCATCAGAGCGGGAGCGAGACGGGAACGAGATGGGAACGAGAGCGAGAACGAAGGCGGGCGCGACAGCGGGAACGAGGGCGGAAGCGAAAAGGGGAAAAAGGGGCGGGAGCGAAGGCGAGCACGAGGGCGGATACGAGGGCGGGAGCCAGGGCGAGGACGAAAACGGCAGTGAGAGCGGCCACGAGAACGAGAACAAGTCCCGAAACGAATGCGGGAACGAAGGCGAGAACAAAGGCGAAAACGAAGGCGGGAACGAAGGCGAGAACGAAGGTGGGAGCCAGGGTGGGGACGAGGGCGGAGGCGAGAACGAAAGCGAGAACGAAAGCGAGAACGACAGCGAGAACGAAGGCGAGAACGAAGGCGAGAACGAACGCGAGAAAGAATTCGAGAAAGAAGACGGAAACGCAGACGAGAACGAAGGCGAAAATAAAGGCGAGACCGAAGACGGAAACGAAGGCGGGAACGAAAGCGAACTTGAAGGCGAGAACGAAGGCGAGAACGAATGCGAAAAAGGAGGCGGGAACGAAGGCGAGAACGAACGCGAAAACGTTGGCGGGAACGAAGGCGAGAGCGAAGGCGGGAACGAAGGCGAGAACAAAGGCCAACACGAGGGCTAGAACGAAGTCGAGAGCGAAGGCGTCAAAGAAGGTGGGGGCGAAGGTGAGAACGAACGCGGAACGAATGCGATAATGCGGTCGGGAGCGAAGGCGCAAAGGAAAACGATAACCAAAGCGGGAACGAAGGCGAGAACGAAGGCGAGAACGAGGGCGAGAACGAAGGGGAGAACGAAGGCGAGAACGAAGGCGGTAACGAAGGCGGGAGCGACGGCGAGCACGACGACGAACGCGAAGGCGGGAACGAGGGCGAGACGAAGACCCGACTGGTTTGGGACGACCCGGGGATTGGTTTGGCAAGACCAGGAGGAGTGGTTTGGGACGACCCCTACTCGTTTGACAAGACCTGGGAGGTTGGTTTGGGTAAACCTGGTAGGTTTGGGAAGACCCGGGCGGTTGGTTTGGGAAGGCTTGGATTGACCCGGGCGGTTTGTTTGGGGAGACCTGGCAGGTTTGGGAAGGCGTGGGCGGTTGGTTCCCGGTTGGTTCGGGAGGGCCTGGGTTTTGGTTGGGGAAGACCTGGTCGTCTTGTCCCGCAGCATCTGGTTTGGGAGGGCCCGTTTGGTTAGGGAAAGCCCTGCCTCGGAGAGCCGTTAGGGCCTTCGGTGGGGCTCCCATATGGGGCCACGGAGCGTGGGCGGGGTGTGCCGAAGCGGGTGCGGCGGTGCCATGCGAATGCAGCCGTTGGGGCCTCTGGTGGGGCTCCCGCTGGGGCCCCGGAACGCGTGAGTAGTGTGCCGACGGGCCGAGGCGGGTGCGGCGGTGACATGCCGACACAGCTGTTGGAGCCTTCGGTAGAGCTGTTCCCCGTGGGGCCACGAAGCGTCTGCGAGGTGTGCCGACACGGGTGCGGCGCCGCCGTGCGGACTGAGCCAGCGCGGCCTGCGGTGGAGCCCTTTCTGTGCGGTGCCGCCACGCGAGCTGTGCCACTGGGGCCTTCGGTGGAGCTCCCTCTGGGCCACGAAGCGTGTGAGCGGCGTGTTGGCCTGGGTGCGGCGGTGCCATGCGAACGCAGCCGTTTGGGCCTTTTGTGGAGCTCCCATTTGGGGCCACGAAGCCTGTGCGGGGCGCGCCGGAACGTGTGCGGGTGTGCCATGCGAACGCAGCCGTTGGGTTTTTCAGTGGGGATCCTTGTGGGGCCACGGAACGTGGGAGGGGTGTGCCGAATAGGGTACGACGGCGCCATGCGAACGCAGCCACTGGGCCTTCGGTGGAGAGCTCCCAGCGGGGCCACGAAACGTGTGAGGGGTGTGCCGAAACGGGTGCGGCGGTGCTAAGTGACCGCAGCCACGGGAGCTTTTGGTGGAGCTCCCTCTGGGGCCACGAAGCGTATGCGAGGTGTGCCGACAGGTGCGGCGGTACCATGCGAACGCAGCCAGTGGGGCCTTCGGTGGAGTTCCCGATGGGGCCACGGGGCCACGGAACGCTTGAAGAGTGTGCCGAAACGGACGCGGCGCTGGTATGCGAACGCGGCCATTGGGTCATAATGTGTGAGGGGTGTGCCGAAACGGGACGGTGCCATGCGAACGCACCCACTGGGGGTTTGGTGGGCTTCCCCATGGGGCCATAAAACGTGTGAGGAGTGTGCCGACACGGGTTTGACGGTGCCATGCGGACGCAGCCACTGGGGCATTAAGTGGAGTTCCTTGTGGGGCCGCCAAGCGTGTGAGGAGTTTGCCGAAACAGAGGCATGCGGAGAGCTGGGGCCTTCCGTGAAGCAGAGGCAGGTCGGGAGAAGGAGGAGGAGAGGAGGAGGAGGAAGAGGAGGAGGAACAAGAGGATGATGATGATGACGATGATGATGCTGCTGCTGCTGCTGATGCTGCTGCTGATGATGATGATGGTGATGATGCTGATCTGATGCTGATGCAGATGATGATGACGATGATGCTGCTGATGCTGATGATAATGATGCTGATGCTGCTGATGCTGCTGATGATGATGCGGATGCTGATGATGATGCTGATACTGATGATCATGCTGCTGCTGCTGCTGATGATGATGATTCTGATTCTGATGATGAGGATGATGATGATGATTATGATGATGATGATGCTGATGATGATGATGATGATGATGATGATGATGATGATGATGATGATGATGATGATACTGATGCTGATGATGATGATGATGATGATGATGATGATGATGATGATGATGAGGAGGAGGAGGAGGAGGAGGGGAGGAGGAGGAGGAGGAGGAGAGGAGGGCGAGGAGGAAGAAGGAGGAATGACGAGGACGCGGGGCGCCGCCTTTCAACGCGAGGGCCCAGCGCCACACGACGATGGGCCACGTGACGATTGGGACAAACAATGCCCCCACCTCGGGGCCCTCCCCCCCTCGGCGCCGCCAGCTTACGCCCAGCCTTCCCCGCGGCTCACAAGCGCAGCCGCGGGCGCTCCTCCGGCCTGCCCGTGTGGTCTCGCCCAATTAGGCCCATCCCGGGGCGCTGGCGGGCCTTGCGCACGGCAGCCCATGTGGGTCCAGAGCGCCTCGGCCTGCTCGAAATGTCCGCTGCTGCTGCTGCTCCTCCGCGGCCTCGTCCTCCCCATCCTCCTCTTCCTCCTCGCCCACCTCCTCCTCTTCCTCCTCCTCCTCCTCCTCCTCTTCGGCACTTGCCCAATCTGAGCATGACTCTCCTCTCTCCCACGACCACGTGTCGAAGATATCCCGCCCTCTCCGTGCCGTCTTTTGTCTACAAGACCCTTACAAAACGATTCGGGGTGAAGCCTGGGGGAAGGCCCTGGGCTCCTGGACCCGTTCAGGACCCGATTTGTTTCGTGGCAAGCAGGGTTCGCCCGTAGGGTTCTACACGCATGGTACTCAGCACGGATAGGGCCTCACACGCTGAGTTTCACAGTCGTTGCACGCATGCGCTGTTTTTGGACCACGCGCTGGCATCACTGCAAGTTGTGAAGCAGTTGCACGGCTCGATGACGGTCTCTTTTCAAGTCGGGGCCTTCGTTCGATATGTTATTGGATTTTCTGGACCTTCCCTCGAAGCGGACTCGCAGGCATCCCTTGCTAGTCTCACCATAACCTCTTACCCCTCCTCTCTCCCTTTCTTTTGCTCATCTCCGTCCTTCTTCTCTTCCCCTCGTCGTCGTCGTCGTCGTCGTCGTCGTCGTCGTCGTCGTCGTCGTCGTTATCCTATTCATCTTCCCTCCTGCCTCCCCCCTTCCCCCCACCTCTTGCTCTTTCTCCTTTCCTCCGCATCCTCCTGTTCCCCATGCTTCTCCTCTACCCTTCCGTGCTCATGCTTCAGCTCGTCCACGTCCCCGTCCTCTTCCTCGGCCTTCCTCGCTATGTTCCTCCTTCTTCTCGTCCTCCTGGTGCCGCTGCTGCTGCTGCTGCTGCTGCTGCTCCTTTTCCCAGGGCACCTCGGCGCGATCGCCTTCTCTTCACCGCCATTCCCTTCTGCAGAGTGCTGAGTGGAAGTGCCGGCGGTCGACCGACTGGTGGCCTGCAGGGGCGGGGGAGGACGGCATCCACGACCCCGATGCCTGCAGCGCCCGCGTCGATGCCGTCCTGGCCAGGTTCGAGGCGATGTACCCCAGGCCGCCTCGGGCTCGTCTGCGCCATGGCTCGAGGAAGAAAAGGCGGCGCAAGCATAAACTTTTTGAGGTCCGCGCGGGTCCCTTTGTGCCGGCACTGGGCCCCCCTCCCCGGCGTGCGAAGTGCGCGAGGGGCGGCGCCGGGGGCGTCCGCCAGGGGACAATCCGCGCCGATCCAAGAGATCCGCGCGGACCTTCGAAAGCTTATCATGACGACATTTTTTGGCTTCTCCACCTGGGGGGATGCTTCAACGGAGGATGCCCCGGAGGATGCCCCGCATTGGCCTAGCGGATGCACTTGAGGATGCTCCAACGGATGCGCTGGAGGATGTTCTGGAGTTCCTTGTTACTGGTCTGGAGGCTGCTCCGCATAGGTGGCTCGCATGCTCCACTGTTAAGTCGGGCCTGTCCCACTACAGGAGGAATATTCAAAAATAGTAAACAAAATAGTCTGGGGGGCATTTTTTTTGGATTATGTTCGAGCATTTTTTTGATATTTTTTGGGTACTTTTTAAACTTTTTCGTTCAAGATCCCCCCGACAGGCATCCGTCGTTTTGATTTTTCCGCCTACGGCCCCAGAGGTCCCGACCCCTTCCCCAGGGCCAGCTCCTCACACCAGATCCCCTTCTGATGGTTCCGGGCCCGAGAAGGGGCCCCAGAGGTCGAAGGCAAGGAAACACCCGCCAGGACTGAAAGAGTCACAGCGTCGGAGGTTTTTGGGGTCGCTCGTTCGCTCGCTCACGTCGCTCCTCCTCTGGCTGGTTCGTGTTCGCAATCTGCTCGGGCTGTGGCCGCGTCTTTCGACTGCGGCGCAGGGCATCGCCTTTTCCTCGGGTCGCCCGTGGCCTCACAGAGGCGGCCCTCTGTGTTGGGCCACGCTTATTGTTGTTGTCCAGAGGCCGTCAGGGATCCCCAAAAGGTGCGGTGACCACACGTGTAAAGTCTGTGGGGGAGTCGGGGTTCTCGGATGTTAGTTTTCGTCGGCTCCTGGGGGTTCTCTTGCCCAGGATGCGTTCCAGCACTTGTGCCTCGCCGGAAGCGCTGCCCCGAGCGTCCCGAGCGGCCGTGGCCCGGAAGCCGAGGACTCGGAGGGCATGTACAGGCGGCCCGGATTAGTAGGTCGACCCTTCCAGATCAAGGGTGCCCTCGTGTCCTGTTGTCTTGCGAACCCATGCCTCCTGCATACTTCTGTGGCAACGCGGCCCTCGGAAGGGCCTCGTGTCCTCTCGCGTGTCCTCTCCAGTCAAGTCCGACCGCAGGCTCAGTCCTTCGCGCTACGAGCTTTGTCTCCGCGCCTGCCCACGAGAGAAAAAGGAGGCAGGTCGGGTCGGTGGGATTCGGGGCGGCCGCGCGGTGTTGGGGCTTGGGTCGTTCTCTGAGGGCGCCCTGGGCGGCTGGGGCCTCCGGGGTCCCCCCCACCGGTGCGGCGACGGACCGTGCGGTGAGGTGTCCACTGATCTCGAGGTCGCCGCACGGCATGGTGCACCACCCACCAGGCCACCCCAGCCCAACCCGAAGGCCCCAGTTTGCGGGGAAGAGATGAGATAACAGCATGAGTGACCCGTACACCCTCCCCTCGGCATCGCTCGGACGTGAGCATCTTTCCTTCGGCGAGGACCATCGAGGAGCATCCTTGATCATTTGGCGAAAAAACCACGCACGAAACCGAAACAAACACAGGGAATGGACGTCCGAGCGATGGCCAGCCCCCCAACCCGAAACTTGGGCCTTCGGGTTGGGTCGGGGTGGCGTGGTAGGTCGCCGGTCACCGCACCCTTCTGGGACTTTTCCGGGTGCCCTCTGCGCCCGTTCCGTCGGCGCAGTCTGGCCTGCCCCCTCTCGCCGGCTGCTCCCGCCCCGACCGGCTCGCCCGGTGAGCAGTGTCACGGCGGAGGGTTTTTCTTTGGCACGTGCCTGGGGCCCCCGGGGCCCTTCCTGGGCCACAGGACCGCCAGCTATGAATCGGGGGTAGACAGACCTCCTACCCTGACACGTCGATTAGGGAATTGGCCGTTTTCGGTTCGCGAGGGGGCGTCGCGGCCGTCATTGTTGCGGGTCCAGGTCCGTCGATTTCGGTCCCAGGCCGTTTTCACTAAGGTGAGGTCTACTAAAGGGAGGTTTGTCCACCGCCGAATGAACGTCGACGGCGCGCCGGGGGGGGGAAAGTGAACCGGGGCGGGCCTCCTCAGAAGGCTCGGATGGCCTCGGGCCTTTGTGGTCTACAGTCGGGGCGTTGACCTAAGGAACCCTAAATAAGGAGCGAGGCCCCTTTTTTCCATAAGTTAACCTTCGATTTCCCGTCGAAAGCACAAGGAAAGCCTGAGGCAAGCTGTGAACCACTTAAGGAACGCGGAGCCCCTCCCCAACGAAAAGGGTTCCTTCTTCAGGGCCCCGACTGTAAGCCTTCCCCGAAGGTGCAAAAACCTCTCAGAAGGCCGGAGGGCCTCCGAGAAGCCCCGCCGCCTTTGGAGAAGGCCGTCGCCTTCTCGCTTCCCCCGCCGGGCGCGCCGCCGAGAGCGACTCGGGATGACAAGCCAGTCGACACGAAGGGGTTCAGATCTCCAGGGAGCCACGTTCTGAAGAGCTCGCAGCGTCGGATGTCTGGGTGGGGCAGCGGCAGCTTTGAGGTCCCGTGCCGATCAATTCGGGAGGGTGTCGGCGGATTCTCGTCGACGGCCTCCTCGAGGAGGGCGAGAGTGGGAGGGGGACGAGGAGGATGAGGGGTGAGGTGTGAGGGATGAGGGTGATGAGGGATGAGGGTGATGAGGGTGATGAGGGATGAGGATGTTGAGGATGAAGATGAGGATGAGGATGATGACGGTGGTGGTGATGATGGTGTTGATGATACTGATGATGATGATGATGATGATGATGATGATGATGATGATGATGATGTTGGTGATGTTGGTGATGGTGATGATACTGATACTGATGCCGATGATTAGGAGGAGGATGCTGATGCTGATGATGATGGCGACGATGCTGCTGCTGATGATGATGATGATGATGATGATGATGAGGATGAGGATGAGGATGATGACGATGACGACGACGACGACGAGGACGAGGAGGAGGAGGAGGAGGAGGAGGAGTTGGAGTTGGAAGGAGCAGGCGGACGTAGCGAGTCAGAGCGCCCAGGGATGATTCGGGACCTGCCTTCCCGCTCTCGCAGTGACCCCGAGATATCTGGGGAAGTGGTGGATGGTGCGGAGGTGGAGAAAGGGGGTGGGGTGGAGACAAGAACAACAGGATGAAGAGGGCGAGGAGGCGATAGGAGGAGGCGATAGGAGGATGATGATGATGATGATGAGGAGGAGGAGGAGTAGAAAGTGCAAACCCAAGACGCATCAACGATTGTTACAATAAACCTTTCCTCCAAGTTCGCTCTGCACAGGTGCCAACAAGAACTTATTTTCATTGCGGGAAGTGCGCGATAGGAATGCAACCGCCTGATAATTTTCAGTCCTGCCAAATCGCCACTCCTGGGATTTAAGCGTCGCAGATCAACGTGACGGCTGCGTCCTGACTATCCCACATCGTGTCAGAGCACCATCCCTCGGTTTTCAACACCGCGAATCAACGTGACTGTTGTGTCCTGACAGTTGAAAATCCTGCCAGAACGCAGTTCCTGGGACTTCGACCATACCCGTCCAAGCTGTCGCAGACTGACAAGAGGGTGCGCGGCGCTGATGCGAGGGCCACCTTTTGAAAAAGGAACCGCGCTTCATGTTTGAAGCTGTTGCAAACTTGCAAGACGAATGTGTGCGGCGCCATGGCGAGAGCCACATTTTGAAAACGGCCGCCCTCCATCCATGAAACTGTTGCAGCCTTTTCAGACGAATGTGCGCGGCACTAAGGCGAGAGCCACACTTTGGAAAACAACCCGCCCTCCATCCGTGAAGCTGTTGCAGACTTGGCGACTGTGCGCGGCGCTACGGCGAGATTTCTATTTT